CATCGCATCGTACTTCTCCCTCTGGCATCTGATTCAAGCATTGGTGGATGATACGCAACGACTGTCGCATCTCCTCGACACGGCATAGATATCTGAAAGCAAGAGGCACATCACGTCAAATATGTTATAAATAATATTTAAGAGTTACATACATCGTATGCCATTTTTCATTCATTTAGATTTTTAAATAGCTTTTGTGTATTATTACTGATATAGAATCATACATTGTGACAAACTGTCCATAAGAATAAGAATTAAATATTTTTTGCAAATTAAAACTGAAGGATTTTTCCAGCACATTATCTATATTCAGTTCGAATATCCAATTATTTTTTTCTTTTGATTTTTAATTTTGGTCACTTGTTTAAAGCTTATTTTTTTTCTAATTCTTAAAATTAAAAAAAGATGAAAAGTAAGTCAAACTGAATTAAAATTAATCTAGATTGGTAGAAACAGACATTGATAATCTATTGTTTTCCTACATTTTAATACCTTTTTTTAACTATATAATTCAATTCTTGTCTAGACTTACCTGTCATAGCAATCGCCGTTTATGCCAATCGGAACGTCGAAATCCATTAAGTGGTAAACGTCGTAGGGTGCAACTTTCCTCAAATCCCATTTTATTCCAGAGCCTCGTAACATCACGCCGCTAAAGCCCCAATTTAGCGCGTTCTCTGCAGTCACAGTACCGATATTGATTGTGCGCTGCCGCCAGATTCTGTTGTCTGTCAATAGATCCTCCACTTCGTCCAATCGTGCAGAATATTTAGAGGCCCAGTCGTATATGTCATCCATCAGACCCAACGGTAGATCCAAGGAGACACCGCCGGGCCGTATATAAGCTGCATGCATACGGGCACCACTCACGCGCTCATAAAACTCCATCATCTTCTCTCGCTCCTCAAATAGCCAGAAGAAGGGCGTAAGAGCGCCGATATCCAACGCGTGCGTTCCAATGCCCATAATATGATTCAGAATCCTCGTAATCTCTCCAAAAAGAACTGCAAGCAGAGAATTCTATCAGACTCGGAGAATCTTGAATCGCAGGTTCATAAAAATACAAATCAGACAGCTTTAAATCACAGATTATTAATTATAGTGATGACAATTATATTATTATAATTACATTAACATTGAGAATGTTCTGATCGGGATTGAAACGTTTGTTAGAATTAGTCTATTTTGGTTTTAATAATTTAGCATTAAAAACTTTGCTCGTCTCGTAGCCAATTTTAATTTTGAACCTATTTAAGCCTTTTTATTATTTGAATCTTTAATAAACGAGTGTATTTATTCCAATGTATTTCATAAATCTATTTCCTGTAGCTAAACTAGTACACTTTTAAAATTTAAAGTAAAATAGATATATGTGTTTGATACTCTTGATGAAAGCTAGAAATAGTTCTAGCAGAGGAAATAAAAACAGATTTCATGTCATTTCAACAGAACAAGATCACGCATTGCTTTTACCTCGAATGTACTTGGCGCGCAGAGGCACATCTATATTCAGCAGTTTCTCAATCGCCAAGGAGAAGCACTGCTCGTTGCACATCATGGAGACATAGTCCAAGCGGTCGAAGTAAGGTAACGCTTGCATATAGGTCTTGTATTCGATCAATTTCTCTGTGCCGCGATGCAGGAGACCAATATGCGGATCGGCGCTGATCACGATTTCACCATCTAACTCCAGGATCAGCCGGAGGACACCGTGAGCAGCCGGATGCTGCGGGCCAAAGTTAACCTTCAAATTTTGTATAGTTTGTTCCGCCAGAGAAGGAGTAGCCAGGAAGGACACATTCTGCGGTGGTGTCCAGTCGATCTTCTCCGTGGTGTACATAATCGGTGTATTGAATTGCTCGAGGAACTCCTTGTCCGGGTTCCATTGATGGACATTACGATGTTGGCTGTAAAACACACGTATTATCAATAGAGTCCGTCACGTATAGGTTATGTCGTTACATAACGCGCGTACGCGATTAATGATAGAGCTACGTTTAAGCGTAATTAATTTGACTTACACATTGGTGATTGCTGATGCATTATTCGGCGCCAGCAATTTGCCAGTACCGAAAAATCCTGCGTTTTTACGCAAGATCGGACCCAACACTCTGGCCGCCATGATGCTCACATAGCTCAATACGGTCAATGCGAACAGCGACGGCTCAATCGGTAAGGTTTGACTTTGACAACCTTCTTGTTATGATCAAAAAGAAACTAATTATCTTATTATATAATTTTCTTTGACTACAAAAGAAAATTTTCTTTGATTTCCCAAGCAAAACAATAGATCACAATAATGTCAAGATAAATCGTGACTGATCGAAACCATAACTTTTAATAATCACTTTGGAGTCATTTCACTCCATTTTGATGTTATAATATAATTATATATAAGTCTATTTTATTACTGAACTAATGTATTTCTTGTATTTAAAATAAAATAAATATATGTTTGAAATTTAACAAAAGCGAACAGTCCCTGGTGAAAAAGTTTCGCTGAAATTATTCCACGTTTTGAAACATTTCGGCGAAATTGCTGAAAATTTGCCGAAACTTCACTGAAAGTGAATTTTTCAGCTAACATACTGAAAAATCACTGAAATTCAATCGAAATTTCTCTGAAATTCTTGCTGAAATTTGTCTGAAAATTTTGCTGAAATTTTGTTAAAAATGAATTTTTCAGCTAAAAATCGCTGAAATTAAACTGAAATTTTGTTGAAAAGTGTTCCAAAACGTGGAATAATTTCAACAAATATTTTCCAGGGGTGCAACAATATAAAAATAAATATTTTTTTACTCTGTTTAGGTTCGTCAGTGATCAAATGGGGGTTGCCCGCAAAGAATGCCTTACGGTGATACCAGGGCACCCCCCCCTCTCCTTCAGTGGTCATCGCAGAACAAAGGGGAGGTTTTAGTGGGTAGGTGGCCCATGGATATATAACTCGATTGAGTGTGCGTTGGCCAAATCCCACACTCCCTCGGTTAAGTCGACCGGGGGGTCTATGAAGATTTCCCCCTCTACAATAAAAAAAAGGTTCGTCAGTGATACTTAATTTTGAAATGTTATCTATATATGATCCATTTAATTGAATGGAATCTTAAGATCAGATTTAAGACGATTTTAGATACAAAATTGAAGTTACAAAGGTTTGCGCGTACCCAAGGAACACACAAAAGTCTATAAAAAATCAAAACGACTTAAATTATTAACGTCGAGTCAATAAAACAGTCAAATTTTGTAACAAAAAATCATCATTTTGATTCGAATCTTTCTCTCGATTCAGTGTGTTCCTTTGAATAAATCTTCAGCATTTTATTTAAATAACGTGATTCTCTTTTGCCTCGAATATAAAATCGGGTTGTAAAGGATTAAATGGGATTTTTTAGGTGTAATCAAATCAATTGTTTTTTAAAAGTCAATATTTCGCATCACGATATTATTTTTCAAAAGCAACATACAAGATAATATAAAATTTATATAAACAAATTATAATTCAGACGTACAATATTTGTAATTATACAAATTTATACATTTGTATTCATATATCCGTATTGATAATTTATTTTATTTGCTATAAATAGAAGAGCGATGATCTTTCTCTCTATTCGCACATCTCATTTTAAACATTCACAATTCCCCGAATCTGAATCATTTAAGTTGCGAGCGCGCGGATCTTGACCTTTGACTACTGCTTCTATTTGCGCCTAAACTTGAAATCCCGTGTCGCGAATAAGCGCTCGTTCGCAAAACGAGAAATCGCGGAGACAGTCGTTTCGTCGTTTCTCGTGGATATTTCAAACCGAGCTTGGAGGAGCGCCATGGAATTTCCGTACTTTCCGAGGATTCAGTGGTGCACAGAGTACGCAGTTAACGCACTACTTTAGAATTACTTTTAGGATACAATTTTAAGCACACCTATATTCTCCTACTCGTCGTGAAGACGAACAACGTCCGTTTCTACCAATGTAGATTATATCTAAGCAGAACAATAAGTCATCAAAATGTCAAAATGATTATTAAAAGTCATTTTTCAATCATTTCCGATTAATTTTAATATCATTTTGACGTTGTGGCTTGTTGTTCTGCTTGGGTAATTATCAAAAATTTTTATTATGGCTATCGCAGTTAAATTAATCTCTCTTAACTTTATCACAGTAATTGCTAATCGCAAAAAATTTATATTAATAATATCGAGGTATTGCGATCAATCGAGACAAAATGACTTTGTCTTTCAGGAATCGTCAAGCAGGCAAAAACGCAAAAGACAGTAAGCAATTATGAAAATTGCCCCGACCTTCTTCGAAATGATCAGCATACTAATTTGCAAATAAAGCATTATATTAGTATTGATATTGAACTCAATTTTATTTTTTTAGTTTAACGTTTCTTTTCGATCCGCCTTCTTTTATTAAATCATTTTTATTTTGACTTTCATGGGTTTTATTTAATGTAATGATTTTTATTTTTATTTGATTTTATTTTTTGTTAAATTAATTTTATCGCACATATCTATCTTAAATATCTTCTTATATGTTAAAATTAATATTATTATTTTAAAAGCTGAAGAAGTGTTGAGAAATTTTCATCCGCTTACGCGAATCATCCGCACTCATTAAACCCGTCCTTGCGCAGGCGTACAGGAACTCGAATTTCTTCACGGGCAAAGCGACTGCCAAAAGTTTGACGTAAGTCACGGTATTGAGGTTGCTATTTCGAGGGTAGCGATGGTGTATGGATCATTGTTGCTCCCACCAACGTAGGCCAACATTCTGCACATGGCGGAGTCATATAATCGCAACTTTTGCAAGCATGCGGCTGCCCTGATCAGACACAAGTGGATTAGCGTTCCAATTTGATTCCCCTTTATTCCTCTTTATTGTACATTAAGCGTATATATCGTCCTATATGCAAAGATACAAAAAGATCGATCACTTCGCGACCGTTGGAAGAAATCCTTTTCAGCTATTCTGATAACTTATCAGTGATAAGAAACGCGGGGCGACAAGCATAACTTCGTTGTATATAACTTCGAGAGGTAACTCTACGTAATATTTCCAGATTGACGATGCGAGAATGCTCGGGAGTGTTCGCGAAAAGCGCACATACTGAAAGAAAAATCTGGTAATAGCTATCAAATATATTTTGTTTATCATACTAGTACAATATTTAGAAAATATTGCTAAACATAATAATAGTAATCAATTGTTCGAGAATAATTAGATAAGCGTTTAGGTATATTTGGTTTTGATTATATTAATTAAATTATAAAATTCACTAAAATTTTAATAACTATTATCTAGGACCGATTATTACTAGACTTTTTTCAGTGAGCAGAAAGTCTCGGCCGTTCACGCGTTTGAGCAACGGAAATAACGCGTCTTGCATCACTTCTATCGCGAACGATCTTCCTAACATAGGAAGTAGAGAGAAAGACGTACATACAAAACGTACATTTGGCGACTAGAATCGTAACGAGTACAGGCAAAATATATATGTATTGCTGTCTAAGCTTATATCACTTTATACGCATCGTACAAAAGAAGAATACTAATTGCAAGTAGAAACAAGAGGTCACTGCCTCGACAACCTCATTATTGTACTCGTTGAACTGACGTAGACTCACAATATCGTACTTTGTGCAAATACTTTATCTTCCGCGTCTCCAGCAATCTTCAAAAAATATACTTCGATGATGCTATCGATTCCGATGCAGCTTCTAGCGAAATAATACTCGCCTTTTTTTCTCAAGTCATAATTTTGATGAGATTGAAGCTCTGAAAAAGAAAACAGCACTGGTCAGCATTAAATTGAAATTTTATAATAACTTCTTCATGTAGCTTTAAATAATATCTATCGATGTGTTTTTTTTTAGTATTAATAAATAACGCATAAATGGCTAGAATCAGTAATATGTTAATAAATTTTATCAGATCAATAACTTTTTTGCTTATGATTAATAATTAACTCGAAAAATATAGACTCGGTGCTATTTTCGGAGCTTAATATGTAACAAGAACATACATTTCTCGTGATGCTAAAGGAATATATGAGTCCTTGGGACCATCAATTTTTCGTTGTTCACTTTAGAAGTTTAAAATTTTCAACCATATACAAAATTGCAATACTTAAACTTAACATAATATAGTATAATAATTAGTTTACATGAATATAGAACAAAATTATAAAAAATAAGACTGTGAAACATAAAATTATTCAAAATCATTACACCGTTTAAAAATTTGGAAAATGCCCTAACACCCATGTTCCAGTTACGGGTTAAGCGACCTCTAAACACTCATTATTATTAGACAATTATTTTGCATAATATTATTGTGCCTCCTTTAAACAATTTAAAACAAATAATTTGGAGACTCAATATAGTTTCCAAACGATCAATGAAATTTTGCAATAATATTGATCGTTTAGAGGCTGTTTAAAATTATTTCTGAACATCAAGCCCGGGCATGGAATATAAATGAGAAAAAACCCAGGTCCCCGCAATTTACCGGAAATCCAAGGATGTACTCCGAACAAACATCATCTCTCCCGACAAACGTCTCGAACTTTAACTCTCGGCTAGTAGTAGTCATAGAGGAGGTAACGATGCAACGACTGCGGTAGCTGCAGCTTCCTGACAATCTTCGGTAGCTTGGTACCGCAGAGTTTGCGGACTATTAATCTCGCTTGATGGGTTAACGGCAGCGGGGTTTTAGCCGCCTCCATCACCAGGGCCTTCTGTGCGTCCGTCAAACTGCTGGACCGTCGTATCATGCAGGGATCAAAGCTCTCCGCTGCTTCCAAAAGTGCGCGTAGCAACCGCGGCTTATCGGCCATATTCTGCAAGGAGTTAAGAATGCCGTGTGGGTCGCGAAATTGCGTCTTGATCACTACTCGGGCACCATATTTCAATAGCAACGCCACTATCTCCACCGACGGGTTCTCGTTAGAGGCGACGTACTCGGCGAGCACCGGCCGCAACGCCGGTCCATCGTCACTGCGTATCACCAGGTTGGGATCGGCGCCGCGTTCTAGCAACATACACAGGATCTCCAGCCGGTTCGGGATATTGTCCGCGCATGCCACGTGTAGTGGCGAACCAATAATTGGCGAAGTGGCGTTCACGTCCGAGCCTGGAAAACAAAAAAATGCATTCTTTTTTCTTTATCTAGATCTTAATTCGATTAAATAATATTGAACAAAGAATTTCTTACGATTGTAAATGTAAATACACAACACATATAGAGAATAAAAGATTAAATTATTATCACTATCCTTACAGAAATCTAATACTAACCATCAATCTTTTTAGTATACACGATGATTTTCCTTTATTATACATGTTCCTATTCTGGGTTAATTTTCATCACTTTTACAAGTACACATAATTATTATTAACTGAATCTTTAATTAACATTTTCAAAAAGTATTTGTGATTACAAAAATTGTATATAAATGTTATAACTAATTTCTTGATGCTTCTAGTATCATATAATATACTATTTCAAATGAAAAAAAAGCACAGGTCACGAATGTGACCTAATAAAGTGTGTATACTTTGAAATATTAATTAAAAGTATTGAAACAATTTAACATTTAAAATAAATAATTAATTACTGTCTTTCAGTAAACTTTTTTTATTAAATTAAATAATGTTAAATTGGTTAGCATTTAGATTTCTGTAAGGGTATATGAAATATTTTATTTGAATTAAAAAAACATAAAATTAAATTTTGTTTTATAGAATTGAAATATAACAACAAAAATAAAAGAAAGATTATTTACTTTTTATAATTAAACTTATATTAATTATATTCTAATAAAATAGAGACATGTAAAAATAATATAATATAAATAAGACAACTCGATATATAGCAGAAAAAACCTCTGAAACTATATAAAAACTCAAAAAAAGATAAAGTATAAAAAGGAAACACAAGTAGATAGGTGAAGTGTTCACAGCACCCCCAGCATGTTTGACGCTCTATTATTGTTTACTGCTTCAATATCGATGAGCCACTACTACTTCAATCTGTTAAGTAATCATTAACAGGAAGATACTAAATCGATGAGCTCTGTTGTCTAAAATCTAAAAGTATGAAATATTTAAGAAAAACTATGCCTGGGGTACTCAAATACTCCATATACCTACTCGAAAGTTAAATCAACGTTGTCAAGAACAGTTTTTGGCCGACACGACCGCAAGGTCTAGCTGCAATCACGAGGGGAAAAAAGTCATACCACGCAGATAGATTTAATACCGGACGCGTGAATTGGCCTTCGAATGCCACGCAATTTCGGCCGTATGCCAGCGTTATCGGTTTGAGATACCACGACTCACCCGCTTCGAGCAGCATCTCGACGATCGACGGGTCGCCCTTGAGTATGGCCAGATCGAGGGCCGTCGGTTTCTGGTAGTCCGGCCCGAGATCCAATCGGGCGCCTTGCTTCAGCAACAAATTGATCACCGCCGGATCGCCGCCGAGAATCGCGTAGTGCAGCACCGTTCGGTAATCGTGCCTGGCGTCCGCCGTCGCGTTCACGTCCGCGCCATAACTCAGCAGCAGGAGCACCGAGGAAATGCCCTACGACATTCACGGTTGAGAAATCAACTCTCTACGATTTTGCGGAAATACAAACGTAATACATCTAATTACAGTTACTGTATGTTGATTATAGTCATGAATTTTAAGAAATTCGAGAGACGCAAAAAATTTGAGTGACGCATTATTTCGAAGTAAGGTGACTGTACCCAATATAGCATAGCATTTAATATGGCCTACTTGTTGTTTGTAGTTACATTAAATCATAAATTAAGGATAGTTAAATCTTGCATTCATTAGGCCCGTTCTTTTTGGCTGAACTTTTGCACCAGTTCATCTTTTTTTCTTTCCTCTCCAGGAAAAAAGAAGAGGAAGAAAGATGAACTGGTGCAAAAGTTCAGCCAAAAAGAACAGGCTCACTGAGCGCTCAGTGAGCGGTCGTGGTACTGAATGCACCCAGTGTCTGAGTGTGTCCTTGCTGGAAAGCACCCAGATTTATTCGCGTCGCATGCTCCAACATGTTCCAATATGCTCCTACCACAGCTCCTACTCACTCCAACGCGCTTGAGGCTGGAATCAGACTACCCATTGAAAATTGAGATTAGTGATTGAAGATTGAAATTTGATCAATGAGAACAAAGGAATTTTAGCTCCTATTGTTTTGATTGGTCAAATTTCAATCTTTGAATCTTCAATCTCAATCTTCAATGCGTAGTCTGATTCCGGCTTTACACATTTGTACATTATACAGATGTGTAAAACGACGGCGCTGCGTGGTGCTGCGCATTGCGAACATTGGCTACGTTTACACCGTGCATTTAGGCCGCGGCCTATACAATAGATGTCTTTGTTTATCCTGTATATTAAACAAAGACACCTATCGTATAGGTC